GCAAAGTTATATTGGCCACTTATTTTTCGTTTCGAGCAGGTTTCCGAGAATATAAACGAAAAATAAGTAATGCAGTCGATCGCTCTAGCAAATATAAGTTTGATTCATCGACAACCAAATAATGTGATATGGGAAAAAACGCCTGGTCTTCCTTGAAATTCACATCCGCCATATGACCCAAGGGCATACATGACAATGTGGCGTAGTGGTTTAGGTGTCATGGTTCGAGTCCCGCTGAGGATGGTCAAAACTGGAGTATATGCGAAAAAAAGTTGGGTTTTGAGGAATCTCTTGTTTCATAATTGTTGAGCTTACTTCCATTTCGAGTGAAAGTGTTTCGTTTAGAGATTCGGTTCAACCAGAAGACGACGGCGGATTCCTCTTGACCAGCTGTCGATTGGCTTTACTACAACATTCATGCTGATGCTGTTTCCGAGGCAATCTCCTTCGATTCCGGTGAAAGGGTGATAAGCTTTCGTCCGTCATGTTACCTCGCTCTGATGATGTTCGTCACATGACGGACGAAAGCTTAGCACCTTTTCACCGAAATCGAAGGAGATTACCTCGGAAACAGCGCCAGCGTGAATGTTCCAGTAAGGCCACAATCGACAGCTTGTCAAAAGGAATCCGCCGTCGTCTTCTGGTGAAACCGACCTCTAAATGTCTTTACGCAAGACTTTCACTTGAAATGGAAGTAAGCTCAACACTTATGAAAGAAGAGATTCCTCAAAGCTCAACTTTTCTTCGCATTTACTGCAGTTTTGACCTTCCTTAAGTTTTATCAAAATCCTTAGCTGGACTCGAGCTATGACACGTAAACCACTATCCTACATTGTCATGAATCACTTTACGCAAAACTTTCACTCGAAATGGAAGTAAGCTTAACAATTATGAAACAAGAGATTACTCGAAAGCCAACTTTTCTTCGCATATACTGCAGTTTCGACCTTCCCTACATCTTATCACCATCCTCAGCGGGACTCGAACCATGACAGGTACACCACTACGCAACATTGTCATGAATCTCTTCACGCAACACTTTCACTTGAAATGGAAATAAGCTTAACAAAACTGTAGTAAACTCCTGCCCTGATGAGAATACCTTTTGGGAAGCAGGACTATGTAAGTTGCTCAGAAGCACAAAGTCTACTCATATGAATGTGGGAAAATTCACCTGCCAGTCCTTAATCACATTAAGGAAAATAGGGTGAATACATCTGAGTTTCGAATAGCCTCGAAACCCTACTTACAAATGCAGAATAGCTTTCATTTTGTTTGAAGCGGCGAGTGGATGAGACACTCACCAGTTGGCCTCACCGGAAGCCGACGGAGACTGGAGCTGTGACCGGATGTGACTGTAGAACTGCGCACCCTTCCGTGACGCCTATCCATCCGCGCTGGGCGTTCCTCCCACATTCGATAGACATCATCAGAGCATATGAATTGTCTCAATGCAATTGTCCACCGTTGGTACCTGGAAAGGGCCAATTCACAAATTCCTTCCGGCTGCTATGAAAGGTACTCCAGCACTGAAGAAAATTAACCGCATCTGCTCTAAAGAATATAATAACTTACCAAATAACCATAAAGATAGAAATGAAAATTTGTTCAATTCTATCGATAGTTTGAGGATTATTTTATTCGTCTTTTCAACATTCAAGGCTACAACAATGTCATTCTATCTCCATCTTTACAAGTTCAATCCTGTTGTAAACGTTTTGGGAGGATATACCCTATTCATGGTGAAAGCGAGAAGCCATCTTGAACTAGTCTTATTCAGCGGGTTTATTGCACAAACACAAAACTTCACCAAAATCTGAATCGTCGCGCTCACAGGACGGCGAGCCGAGGTCTTCGCACAATTGAGCAGCCACGCCACCATGGCAACGGTCCTCCATTGGTTTTTGGGTATGGCCAATTCCAGCCGCTTTTTCACACAAAGTGAATACTTCTCCAGCTTCTCTTTATTTAATGTCGCATGATTATACATGCTTCAACGTTGAGCAATCATACGGTGGTTTATTTAGGCTTGCGCTTTATTAATCTGCATGAGGTGACCCCTTCAAGCACGGGAGGCCTCATTAAGATCGCAAAATCAGGTTTAGGCAATAATTTGGGCAAAAGGAGAAGAGCTACTCCAAACAATCAACAGAAGGTTGGTCAAGGAATTGGCTTCACTCGTCTCTATGACGAATTGATGTGGCCGATTCCGAACGGTCTCGAGTCTGTTCAAGGTTCACGAGTCTCACGTGATTCGTGACGTCTATTTATACACTCAGTCTGTCCATTTCCGCATTAGAATGCACCTTTACAACAAAGAATCACGTAAGTTATGAACGAACTTCTGCTCCCAACGCAACAGTCACATTTAACTGTGTTTCTTTCTTTCAAAACCAACCTTTAATCATAGATTTGAGAGTATTCCTCAACCGAAGCTAGATTTTACAAAAGTCTTTCACACGTACCTTTCTTCTCACCCTTCTGCAAAGTAATTTACTTTAAACCATTTTATTTTATTGTTTTTGTATTCACTTAATAAAAGTAGCTGAAGGAGAGCTGTATTGATTGCTTAATTTGTAAATAAATCTTGTTTAATTTAGGTATATAGAACAACATATTGTCGCAATCTCTGTTGTCGTGTTGTCAGAAGTCCTCTGAGGATGTACCAGATCCACGCTCCAACGCTGGTAAATATGACAATTACCATAGCAGAGGACTTTGGACAAGGTGCATCCAACTAAGTCGCCCTGACAACTCGACCAAGTTGCGAAAACGAAGTTGATTTGGGTAGAGCACAAGATTCCATTTGTGGAGTAAATTGTTTCAAAGAACTACAATCCTACATTTATATCGTAGGTATGAAAGCCAACTTGATGTTGCCCCTAGTTTTGGTCGTCTCCTCTTCTCGTTGTACAGAAGTTATCTGATCTCGTTCTTGCAAGTTCATCGAGCTGTCAGGTCGACCTCGAAATGCCCAACGTGTATCTCGGTTTGCGGATGAAAATTATGATGAGAAAGAACGCCGGACAGGCTCATTTATAGTCTCTAACTCCAACACTACATTTAAAGTCGCCCTGACAACAGGGCCAATTGGCGAAAAGGAATTTACACTAATTCCATTGTGGGATATTAGTTATGATAGTATGATTTTGAGGTCATCTCTAGATCGTGAATGAGGAGACTGATAGTTAATTTTTCCAAGAGGTGTGTAGGATGTCATTAGATTTCACGTAGACTTGCTTCCCACAAGCTAATCTCATCCAGACTGGACTCTATTGGGTCGGGCTGCAGTTTCGGGCAGAAGAAGTTTCGGGTAGGCAACCTTAACTTGGTCATATGTTAAGGAAAAGTTGGATGAATTCCTCACCTTTATTAATAAACTGGATGGAAGAATTAAATTCACGATAAAAATGGAGGAGGAAGTAAAACTACTTTTACTGGATTTTGAGGTCATGCGTTCCGGCGGGAAACTCAAGAGGAGACTATGAATAATCCACAATTTTCAGTCTCATTACAATTACAGACTGAAGCTCAATATAATGAGGGTTTTTATCATTAGAAAGTTTAGACTAATGGACATGGAGTTCTGAAACGAAGAGTTGAACAACTCGACTCTGATTTACTTTTAGTAATGAGTACCCCAGTGTGATTTTCACACTTTTTTAGTAGCGGCATGTCGCTAAGATAAGAAAGCTATTGTAATGAGATGTATTCACCCTATTTCGTCTAAGGTGATGAAGGACTGGTAAATTCTACTACCAGTCCTTCATCACCTTAGACGAAATAGGGTGAATACATCTCATTTCACTGATTTACTGGTAGTCTCGAAATCCTAATATCATACGAATATAAGAAAGCTATAGCTCACGTCTCTAAGGCCTACTTGTTTTAACGACAATCCCACCACAGAAAGTGAAACGGGAGAGGTCTGGTCTTTCTTTAAATTCACTTTTGCCCTTTGACCCAAGAGAACTCGTGATTGGGTACCACAACTTGAGTTTGAGTCCCGCTGTGGGTACTGATGAGATCAGTTTAGGCGAGGTCTAAACTGCAGTCCAGTCCAGTTCAGTTGGTATGTGAATACAATTCATCGTTAGGCCTACTCATCGGATTGTGTGTGAATTCAACTACCAGCCCTTCATGGTATTAAAACAAGGTGGAGTGGACACAGTTCTTATTCAAGATCTGCTGGTAGTCTCGAAGCCTTATTTCAAAATGAAAATAGGCTACCTTTTAGTCTCAAAATCATACTACCCTTAAGGTTACCTTGACAACATAATCAAATTGCGAAAACAAATTTAGACTAATTTCATTGTGGAGATATTCGTTTTTTCGAGTGTCTTAGCTCCAAAATGAGGCACTACGAGATGGGTAGGATGTCATTAAATTGCACGTATCCTTGGCTTCTGAAAGGTATTCTCATCAAGACTGTACTCGACTGGAGTGGACTAGCCAGCACACACTTTTCTAACAGACCGACCCCAATTCGCCGTCTCCCGATTGGCTAACCGGTTTTCTGTTTTGGGCCCACTCAGACCCGCCGTCGTTCCCGCCAGTCGGCCACTCGCAGGTCCGCGACACTCGGCCCGGCCGCCAAGCCGAACCCGGCCAGGGACTCGGCGCCGTCCCCTCCGACGCCCACCCACTTGCAGGACTGATGCTCTTCTCGGAAACCGGACTCGGCCAGCCGGCCGCTTACGCGATGGCCGTCGTCTGCGGCCTCCTCGTCGTGCTCATTTTGGCCTGCCTCGTCGGTCTCTTGGTCATGTGGCGCCGACGGTCGCATCGAAGACACGCCGGACACAAACAGTCCAAACTGCCCGGGGTACAGCGCAGATTGACTCTCTTTCCACAGTTTCATGTGTGCCTTTTTATACTTTTATGCATTTCTGTATTCCTGTGTCTGCGCTCATCTGTCCGCCTCTATGCGGGTGTGTGTGTGTGTGTGTGTGTGT